ATCTGTTGATAATAAGAAATTAGTTGTGACTAATATTGTTCTACATTGCATTGTGAAGTCTACTAATCAGTTGATTAGTGTTAGCAAGAGAAGAATTCGATGCTCAACATGTGGAACAAATGATTTCATCAACAAGAAAAAGGTCAACAGATGGTATAAAAACAATTGGTATGAAAACAGTTGGAATGGAAATACCAGATATGAGAACAACAGGTATAATAATGACTGGTATGATTCTTATTGCATAGCTGATTTACCAGTTAAAAAAACAAAAAGAAGTTATCTGATAAGAATAGATGGTATGACACTTATAACATTCCTCAAACCAGTACTAACAAAGTAGGACCCATGTTTGTCTGGGTACCAAAATCTACTTAATTTGTTTTGCAGGTGTTTCATATGTTGTTCCGATGTCAAACATTTATTCATATGATACACTGATGCAGGGGGAGTGTGTGATTTGCCAGAGTATAGCTTCTGAACACCCAATTTAGGACCCGCTCTTCAATACAGCTTCTGAACAATTCAGTTCAAAACCTGAGCTAACTCAAAAAGAAATTAATGTTTTATCTGTAAGAATATGAAATATATTTTCTAGGGGGTGTGTTGAAAAATGTTTTTGAAATCTGAGCTGACTAAAATCGAGTATCATTTCTGATCAGGTATTTCTTTGAGATTTTACTTATGTATTTTCTCTTCATACATATTTTCAATACCTGTTTCTGCTATTCTTCAAATTGTTATTATCACGTCTCTAAAATGAAAATCATTTTCGTTGATAATACACTCGTTTGTATTCAAAGTTGTTTCTTGAGCTTATATGAAATATAATTCTTTGATTGATACACATTTCTAAATTCTTTGAATCTTTATGTGTAAACTTGTTCTTATAGATCTTCGTTCATTTCTCTCAATTATTCTGAATAATCTGTTTTGTACATCACTCCTGATTAATTGTTCATGTGATTAGTTGCTACATTTTTCTTGATCAATTTTCATCTGATAGAATGTGCATCATTGTAATAACATTTTTGATCAATCATTTGTGATCAAATGAGCTTACATTGTTATTTTTAGGAGGGACTGAGAACTTAACAGAAATAGCTCTATGGACTGTTAGAACCGACAGCCCTACCCAAGACAACATCCATATCTGAATGAGCTTAAATGTAAAATGGGTTTGTGTGCAGAATTTAAAATGAAAATGAGAGGGGTAGTTTAGGTGAGTTAAAAGAATTGATGAGAGTTGTATCCAGGATTAAAAGATTAAAATAATCCCGTTCTATCATTTTTATGTTCTTGATCTTTGTATGAATTGGTGATTAGACACAAAATATGGGATTAACATGTATGGATAGCTATATTGTTGATCAATGTTGCCTCCTAAAGATATGAAATTATTTTGAACAATTTTAAATGGTTTTGCTCCTAATGTTGTGTTTTCCAGAGTGTGGGTACACAATATTGGATATGATTCAAGGAGAACTTGTAGATTTTGCTTTAAGGTTTTGTGTTACAATGTGGAAAAAATACTATGGTTCCATGTGGTGTACAAAATAGGATTTACCAAAAATAGATCAAAGTGAACATTGGGGTCTCCAGCATTAGCACTTGATCACTTGGAATCAGTTTACTAGTCTAGATTTGGGTTGCATTTATTGTGACTGGTAAATATGAGTTGCATTGTTTTACATATAAATACATATACAAACATACAATTATAGACTTTGATCATACTAAAAGAAGTAGTCCTAAGGCCATTTCCATTCACTTTCCTCTAATATAGAAACTTGGGAATTAACTTTGAAAACTATCAATGTTTGGTTTTCCTTTATCTTTCTTGCATTGTAGATTCTACATTATTATTAGTTTACTTTGTTATCATTCTATGCTTTAGTACTTCCTTTAATAAAATTTAACCTAAATAGCAACTAATAGAAATCATGCTACCATCACTTCTTGAAATATCATCATTTCAACTTATGATTATAGTTGTTCTGTTTATTTTTTAACTAGAAGCGTACTCGCGCAATGCAGCGAGATACATCATGATTTTAATATTTCATTTTATTCTTTATCTCAGTCGATGTTATAATACGACTTTATGTGATTTTGAGAAAAACAATGATGTTTTTATTTTTGAAWAAAATATATGTTTGAAGATATCATAAAAATTTGACAAAAATATGTCGATATTAGTATCAAATTAACTATTTGAAATTCTTCATTTTTTTGTGTAATTTTTTAATTCAATTTTTTTTATAATTTAATTTATGTACAATAACGAAGTAATTTATATTTGGTTTAGTAATATAATTGTTTTATAAAGATAATAATTATTTATTTTGTTGGAATTCGATAATTATTCTAATTATATTTTAGATTTTTTATATTTTAAAATGAGATGTTCATCCTCTATTTGATTATGTTTATCCACAATTATTTATACGAATTCAAACATCGAGCTTGTATAARTTGTATTTATGCATAATTACTTGTAATCTTGAATTTTAAGTAATATGCATCAATATACAGTACTTTATATATAACAAAAATATATCGATATTCGTATCAAATTAACTATTTAAAATTCATCATTTTTGTATAATTTTTTAATTCAATTTTTTATTATAATTTAATTTAGGTACAACAACAAAGTAATTTATATTTGGTTTAATAATATAA